TTTTGTATTTCCATTCATACGATATGCCATGTTTATTGATTTACATATGTTGAACCATACTTACATCTCGAAGAGGAAACCAACTTGATCATGACACACATTATTTGTAAAAAATTGTTGCATTCTGTTTATTAATCTTTTGTTCCCGATTTCTGCATCTGTGTTCTCTAAAGGAAGAAAACCTGCCTAGAGTTTTCTTTTCTTGCTAAAGCCTTGTCAAAATTTTGGTATGAGGCATTGCCTTTAATGCAACAAGTATTGACTAAGACAGCAACAGTATTTGTGCACGTTCAGCATAGCCGGGTCATGCCGGCAGTCCCAATACTGCAAGAGAGGAGGTTAGAGTGACAATCTTGTCTGAGAAAGACATAAGGATGAGGATACAATAGAAGATGGGAGAAATGTAGGAAAAACATTTTCTAGAATTTGTGATAAGCAACATGGATGGTTCATTAAGACACGAGCTGATTAGATTTTCAGCAGAGACCCCTCAGTAACACATATTACCTTGAATCTTCTTCTTTTTAATAGATTCCTAGACACTCTGAAATTTGGGGCTTTCTAGAAAGACTTAACTCTAAAATATATTATAAGAAAATATAGTGGTGGAAGTCTTCGATGCCAGATAACTTCTTGCAAACTTAATGGATTTATTTGGGGAACACGTTACCTGTGTGAGCTTTGCAGCGAGTGCTCAGACTCGATTTTAATTTTGTTGCAAGAGGGAAGAAGTAAAGAAAACAACCTCTTTCTAAATACCAGGAAGTCCACAGTATAATAACTCTTTGTTTCTTTCCCCAAAATGTGATCTCATGGAAGCACAAAGCAAAATATTGGTTACAAGGTCTGGAAGTAGGGTGTGGAGTAGCGGGGAGAATATTAGTTCCAATATCTAGAAGGGGTAGGGGTCCGGCAAAGGATGAGAGAGACTGGTTAGTGTGCACAATATTAGTTAGACACAAGGAATGATTTATAGTAGAAAAGGAATTATGAAAATTATGGAAATAATTTCCCTAGCATAGTATGGTGACCATAAATAGCAATCATTTATTGTAGAATTTAAAAGAGCTGTAACATAGAATAGATTGATTGATTGACTGATTTTTGCGCTTAGAATTGAAACCAGGCCTCACATGTGCCAAGCAAACACTGCACTGCTAAACTACACACTCAGCCCAAAGAGAATTTTAATGTCATCATCACAAGGAAATGACAATTGTCTCATGATAAATGCGTTATTTACCTTGAGTTGATCACTAAGCATCTATTGAAACATCACAACATACTTTATGAATTTGTATAATTTCTATATCAATTAAAAGTAAAAGTGAGACTTTAAAATATGCATCCAAACTCAGGAGCACATTTTAAGCATTTCACTAATAATCCTGGAGGCAGTCTTCCTCATGGAAGTTGTAAGAGGAGATTCCTGCATTTTGGATTACTTCTACTGAAAGCTTATACTTCTGAGTTCACCACTGCCACCAGCACCGCCACGAGTAGGATCATTTTCTCATCACCAGTCTGACCCTTTAGTCTCTGGTTCATTTTCTGTGTTCCTCTCAGAAACAATTCCAAAAGCTTGACCATGCTTCCCCAGCACCTCGCTTTTCCTCCACATGTTCTCAGGCTGTCTTCACCAGGTAGTTTTTATTTTGACTGAGCCTTGCCCCTTTGTTTTGTTTTGCTCTTGAGACAGAGCTTCATACATGTTGCAGACTGGCCTTGACATGTATCCCAGGCTGGCCCTGTGCCTCAGCCTCCCAGGGCTGGGATTGCAGGTGTTCCCCACCTTGCCAGCCTGCCCTCCCCTTCCAGCTCCCTCCTCCTTAGGGCTGATTTTGAGTGATTTTTCCCCGAAGGGAAGCCAATCAATATGGATTTTTCCAAACTGAATAAGGCATTTTTCATGTTTCTATGGTAGTTTACCTACCTCTCTACCCTAATTTCAGAATTCTTTGAAAATCATAACATTTTAATTCATGAGTGGACTAAATGATCATAAAGGCTAGCCATGTTGCTCTTTTGGCCTCTAATTTCTAAGTAAACTCCAGGGTACACAGTGAGTACTTAGAAACATTTATTGTAATGAATTTAAAAAGGTATAGTAGATGTGCAAAAGGATCCCTCAGCAGGAATAAGAAAATGAAACGTGAGACAGCCTGTACTCTCCGAAACCTCTGAAGATTCTAACTACAACTGCTGAGAAAAAATAACATTTTTTTTAAATTCATTGCCTCCCAATCATTTTAAATATATTCAGTTTAGCATGAGATCAAGAATAGTCAGGAAGATTTGGAGTTAGTTAAATTAATTACTCAGTATCTTGCAATTTACATTTTTTCTTTAAAGGCTAAGATAGAAATTATCCATATAAAATGACAATATCATACTAGAACATCATATACTGTCTTTTTAAATATTATTTTAATGAACATCTTCACGTTTACTTTCTAGATACCTAGCACTTTTTTTCTGCTTTTAATAACTTTAAGAGCAAAGCTTGGGACAAATTTTACAACTTCCTTTAGTGTCTTATACTGGGTTGACTCCTTTTTCTGATACACAGCAGGAAGATTTTCAATTGAATAATAATAATAATACCTGAGAACAATACCTTCTTTCCAAATGTCCTGAAAGAGAATAAAAGATGTAAAGAAAAGGTGTTATACAAGAAACGAGTATTGTAATATTCATCATGTGATGTGCTTCCAAAATGGAGAAAAAATGATAAATATCCAAGTGGCATTTAGTATGACATTGGAGTTTCATAAATGTAAAACATTGGACCTAATAAGCTATGGTAGATGGAAATGGAATACTGGCAGGTTCAAGCTAACCCCAGGCTTGTCACAACACAAAACAGGTACCAAAAAAAAATTCTTGAAGACGTCATCATTTCTTCTCCTTTACAGTTTTAATACACAGTGATGATTAAGTGCAGTAGAGTCTAAGAAGAGGAGAGTGAAATGCTGCAGAAGAAAAGTGAAATTTCCTACATAGGAAATAACAAACTGAGTCCGTATTTGGATCAACCTTGGCCAGGAATCTGCAGGCCCTAAATACAGATCCAAGCTAAGCTGGTAACAGCTTTTCCCATTTTTTAATGAACAATCCATGAAAGAGGAAAATGCAGACATCTATCAGTAAAAGGCAGGCACCAGGGGAGGTAGAGGATTTGTGCCCCTGAACTGCAGGAAGCCTGAGCAGCCCTCTCCTCCTGTCTAAGGGCAATGACAGTGGGGGTGGGGGACAGAAACCATTAGTGTTTAAACAAATCTGCTTAACTCTCAAAGTGACAAAATTAAATATTTGCATATGTCATCTGGGTCTCCTGCTGGTATGTTGCCTCTCCCAAACCACTGTTTGCATCACTTTGAGGTGACCTTTGGATTCTCTGCCATCAGATTTCCTGGTTTGGTTTCCATTAGAATGTCTGTCCATTTCTAAGTTTCCCTTATTTGTTTGTTGGTTTATTTTATTTTCTTGTCCCTTCAAAATGCACGAAAACAAACATTTAATTTATATCACTCAGAGTGAATTAGGCTCATTCAGTAAATATTTGGTGAAAAAATGTTCATTCATGTCTTTCTCTTCAAAGAAAATGTAAATAGCACAGATTGGAAAAATTCAGTGTAATATCTCTCGTGATATTTGACATCTGTACAAAAATCAAGTACTACATTGGCATCTGTTTCTGAAACAATTTCCTTATCTGTACAACAGGGCTTATCATAGCCAACCTTGGAGGGGATTCAATACAATGCATAGGAGAGAATTTTTAGAAAATTTAATTGCAAAACAAACGTGCAAATTATGATTGGGGCTGGGGGTGGACACAGTTTACCAGAAGCTCAATGTTAAATGTCCTTGTTATGCAGCTTCTGAAGTCATAATTACGGAAGTGCATTGCCTGCATTCAAAGAACTGTGTGCTTTGTATTCTTCCAGGAGTCAAACCAGATTACTGTGTTCCCTCGCAGTGACACATGCTCCAAGATGGTGACAAGTGTCTGAAAGTCACCAAGAACCCACATGGGTGTGACTGAGGCTGTGATGCTTGCTGTGAAAATGTGAGGAATTTTATGTGGAAGATCTATTCTGTGGAACACTAAAATGCAAAACTGGGGTTGGAGGTAAAATAATAAAAGCAAACCGTGGCTTAAGACCTTGGTCCCTGTAGGGAGTGATCTAACCTCTAGAGCAATCCTGTAACCCTGGAGGTCATAGACTGCGGTAGTCACTTCCAAGAGATCTGGGGACACTTTATTTAACATTGTTATTGAGAGGCTTCTACTCTTCGGCTTAAGTTCAGGCTAAATAACTCCAAGCCCTTCCCACGTCCACGACAGCAATGAAGCCCTTACAGGCCTGGCGTGGTATTCAGGCATGATGAGCCCACGGATTTACACGCTGGCAAAGGATCCCGCAGCAATTGTTGCTAGCGATGACACCACTTCACGGGAGGATGACAGATTTCACCGGTCTCCAGTCAATAGCAAGGTCGGGAGAGGCATGGGGTCCGCGGGAGGAACTCCGCGGCTTTTCGCGGGGTCCTCGGCGGTCTCTGGGGCTGGGGACCTCAGCTATGGTCACGCGTGGAACCCTCGAGGCCGAAGATTCGCTCCTGTGTTTGCTGCAACACCGGCTGCTGCGAATGCACATTTCTGCTGATTAAACCCTTCAGTTACAAACCTGTACTCCCCGCTTTCAATGAGAAAGAGACTGGGGGCTCGGGGGCCGGGGTTCCCCTCCGGCAGGTGCAGATGCCGGGATGCGCCTTCGCGTCAGTGCTGCAGTGTCTCGCGGGGTCCCGTCTGCGCGGTCCCGGGGTGTGCACGCGGTGCAGGACAAAGTTGGAAGGGAAGGGAGGGCTGGAGCCCCGGCCTCCCCGGCGCCGTCCCAGCCTCGCTCTGGCGTCCCCGCGCGGGGGAGGCGGCGGGCTGCGGGCTGCGGGCGGGCGCTCCGGTGTCGGTGTCGGCATCGGTGTCGGCATCGGCGGCGCCGCAGCCTGCGGAGCCCGAAGCCGGCTCGGACCCGTCCACGTCACTGTGCGCCCAGCCCCGCTCCCGCTCCCGCTGCCGGCCCGGTGCACGAGCCCCGGCCCCGCGCCGGGCTCATGGGGCGGGCGGAGCGCGACCCGCAGCTCTGAGCGAACCGGACCAGCGCCCGAGCCCGTGATGTCCGGGCCGGCGCCGGAGCGCGCGCTGCCCGCTCGCCGCAACTGGACCTGGGGCGCGGGCGCCAACGGCAGCCAGGAGCCGTCCCCGCGGCCCGCGGACTATGACGACGACGAGTTCCTGCGCTACCTGTGGGGCGAGTACCTGCGCCCCAAGCAGTACGAGTGGGCGCTGATCGCCGGCTACCTGCTGGTGTTCGTGGTGGCGCTGGTGGGCAACGTCCTGGGTGAGTGTGGGGGGCGCTCGGCGCGGGAGAGAAAGTTTCCGCTCTCAGAGCGGACCGAGCCCCGATCCGAGCCCGGAGACGGGATGGGACTGGACGGGACGCGACGGGACACCGCCTCTGCCCCTCATGGGCGCCGGCTGGGCGGAGTGCGGGGAGCCTGCAGGTTCTGCGGCGTGGACCCGGTGTGCACCAAGGGTGGACCCGGTGTGGACCTGGTGTGCACCGGGGATGCACTGGGAGTGGACCGGTGTGGACTGAGGGTACATCGGGTGTGCACCGGGGGTGGACTGGGTGTGCACCGGTCCGGCCCATGCACCGCGTAGGCGGAGGCAGAGCCCGCAGAGGGCTGAACCGAACCCTCCGGCCCGGCAGAGCACTGGGCGCCGAGAGCCCCGTACGCCTCCTCCCCTCGCCCGGGTCAGCGCGGGGGCTGCAGGGCGCCGGGCTCGGGAATATCCGTGCAGCTCTGCGTTCTGCAAGAGGAGCCCACGCTCGGTGCCGGACACTCACTGTCCCCGGCGGGTCCGTCCTCCTCGCCGGGCCCTGGGTGGGCAGGGGTCAGCGAGGAGCCCCGAGCCGGGAGCGGGGAGCGGGGAGGGATCCGCCTCCGGCTCGCCGCGGTGACTCAGGTTGTGAATGGAGGCGCTGAATGGAGCAGCGCAGCCCGGCGGCTCGCGGCAGAGGGCGGTGTGGAGGGGTCTGGGGCCGCAGGCCGCGGGGCCGCGGAGGGCGCTGTGGACCGCGCGCTACCAGGGCGGAGAAGGTGGGCGAGGCGAGAGGCGGGGGCCTCGGAGGGCAGAAGCAGAGGCTAAAACTGCGGCGGAGGCCGGGGCTTCCCACGCGGCTGCGGGGTTCCCCTCCACGGCGAGGCGGGAGGCGGTCACCACAGGGCCCCGGGGGGCTGCGATGCCAGGAGAACTCGAATCTGCTCCTCCTGTACTGTTTTACAGTATTTGCCTTTTGTTGATTTTTCGAAGATAGAAATAAAAGAGAATCTTCTAAGGATGTAGCCTATGTGGACAAAAAGTTGAAATATTTCTAATTAGGGCCCTTGTTTTAAGGGTGTCAGTTAATAAAAATGCGTTTCTTGCTTCCCTTCTTGTCATTCATATTTAGAATTACAACTGCGGAGACACACGGCTCCGAGCATAGCGATGGTCGCTGCACTCCGCCAGCACTGACTGACTCATAGGTGAACAACCAAAAGCAGCCTCTATCAGCACCTACCGTGCGGCGGCAGCTTCCACAGGCGTCTCACTTAAACCTCAAACTGAGCCGCGTTAGATGGTAGGAAACAAGCCCCAAACGCAGTGGCTTCTAAAGGACGTGGTTGAGATTCTGTTCCATTTCTTGTGACCTCACATCTAGAATTCCCCATTGTTATTCCACTCTTGGCACACACAGAGGATGGATGCTCTGCCTCTGCTTGTTTGTAAACCCACTGGACGGGCCTCTGCCCTCTATATTCATATCTGCAGTCAGTAAAGAACCATGAGGGGTTAAAAGCGCTGCCATTCTTTCCACCAATGATTGCCTAGGGAGATATGTTGTTACTCTTCAGTAAAAAGAAGAGTAACCTTTTTTATTTTTGCAGAAATATCTACAAGTCATAGCTGTGTCTTACATGATTTCATTTGAGATGATCTTTGTATTAAGACATGCCTTTCTTTGATGTTTTCTCTGTCTCTTTGTGTCTGTCTGTCTCCTCTCTCTCTCTCTCTCTCTCTCTCTCTCTCTCTCTCTCTCTCTCTCTCTCTCTCTCTCTCTCCCTCTCTCTTCCTTTTTATAGGCCAGGGGATACAGTCTTCTTTTCCCAAGTGCACAGTTTAGAGGCATAAATTTGCTAACCCGGAGAGATTCAGTTGCCAAGACAGTAAATTGGAGGAAGAGGGCGCTGTCCCGAGACCCTAGTGCTGAAATGGCCAATTCCATTCAGAATAAAGATTTACTCAAAGCACTCTGCTCTCAAGATACTGACAGCGATTTTCCTTAGGACTGAATAACGTTGAAATCCTCTCCAGCGTATCTGAAATTCATTCTTCACAGGAACATTCCCTGAAACTTGATGCCGTTTAGATTTGACATTTAAACAAATGAACAGTGTCATTACTCAAAGACAACTAACTTCTTGCTCTTTGATGTCAGTGTCAAATTTGCAAAATGGATTAGACTGAGAATTGCCTTTTTGCCCCTGTGGCATTGTAATTTTACACCAATATCAGGACAAGGAGTCACATTATTCATGCAAGATAAAGAGTCATGCCAGGTAGGAGGGTGGAATAGCACAGTGTGGGCAGCCAGTGTAACACTGACCCTGCAGATCCACCCTCCATTTGTTCTTTCAGGGAACTGACTGCTTTGACAATATTGATCTTGTTACAGTACAAATATAATGCCATCAGTTAGAAGCCACTTGTCCCACTGTGTCCTTTTGTGAACTTAATAAGGTATATTCTGTGAGAGCAACAAAGTCTTGACCACCCACAACCTCCTTTCCTCCCCCCACTCCTCCTTTTTATCATGATGTCCTCCAGCTTCATTGGCAGGTGTTCCTTCCAGGACATGATCGGGTTGCATGGGAAACACAACATAAGAAGTCACATGTTGTATTAGTGTAAATGGGATGTCATGAGTATTCTAATAAAAAGATACATGCATGACTAATAGTGCAAGTTTAACTCTCAGAAAGGAGCAAGGAGTAGTTATTTTTGGAATGAGTGTTTTCCCATTATCTTCAAAATGATGCCACATATCAGCTGTACACATCTTGTAGAATACCCACGTAGATGGATTCACTTTTTCATCCAATGTATTTTTAGCAATATTGTGCTTTTAATATTAATGTGTATGTGAGAAGAGTCTCTTGGAAAACTCAAATTAACACATGTAATGTACTTTTTTCTGCTATTTCTTTGAGTTGAAATTGGAGGATAAGATGTGCTTCATATCAAACATTTAATACCTAGGGAAAATGAGTAGTTTTCTATTTTCTGCATTCAACAATAGCCTAAATTTCACTTAGTATAGGTCCACCCCCTCCTATTTGCTTCATACAAAAGGAAATTGGAACATCCCATAAATATAGATATTCATCCAGCTGTGTTTCTTGCTTCTTGTCTGACCATTAGCAAGCTTAACGCTTGCCTAGTTCAACTTTTCAAATTGGAAATAAAAGTTTCTATTGCATCCCCCACACAAATCATAGAATAAAAAACATTGATATCCTCTATGTAGATGTATAAAGACATATCTACATTCTTATCTTGAAATGTAGAATAAAAAACATTGATATCCTCTATGTAGATGTATAAAGGCATATCTACATTCTTATCTTGAATAATAACTGATGCTAACTTTATCCCTTCTTTTCCTTTACTAAAATGTCCCTTGGTGAGGTTTGGGATTGCCTTCTGCCCCCATGACCAGGCTGCGTGTCTGCCTCCTTGTCACCTCAGCCCTCACCTCTTCTCAGCTGAAGGTCTAGATAAAGGAGTGAGGGTAGGAGTCACCAGGTGCTTCTCTCCTTTCCCGTCTCACCCATCCTCTTCACACTGACCATGCATCAGTGCCCTCCCACACCGTATGGGCTTCATTCCTAACTATGAGCTCTCACGTCTCTCTCTCTCTCTGTTTAAATTTACATGAACCATGTTTCATTTAAAGTTTTTAAGCTGTTATTAATCATTTGGGCTACCACTACCATTATTCACACACACACACACACACACACACACACACACACACACACACACACATGCACACTTGCACATATGCACACAAAAATGTTGATTTAATTCACTTAAAGCATATCATTAATTAAAGGATATACTCAGTAAAAGTTAAGGTCCACTGCACGACAGGAGTGGGTGGATCATCTGTGAGAGGGTTGCTTTCTGGACAGTTAGGTTTATGTACCAGAAGTAGAAGTGGCAGAGTTGCAATCTTGCTACTCCTAGGCTTATGAAACAATTTTGTTCTGCTTCTCCCAACGTAGAATTTAGTTGCTGGGAGGGTTATAAACTTATTGTGTTCTATATAAAAAGCAATAATGGATTATAGGAAAATGCATTATGTAAGTCAGCCAGGGCTCAGTAGAAACCATAGATTACGGTGTATACAAGGTACTGTCAGCCATCAGGTCTCCTGTCTGTCCTTTGTTATGTAATGCAAAAACACTGTTCATCTAAATGGTGATTAAACTGATACATTTACATTTTTGCTAAACCCATAGTCACTCAGTCTTACTTCACAAAATAAATCATGTTTTTGACTTGCATAGAATTCCAGTGATCACTGTAAAATGGTTCTCTCATAGATAACATTTATCATGGACAGAAAATAATGAAAATAACATGGAATATTGATAATGTAATGTAATGGTTTTTTTATGTATTTGGAAAAAATGTCCAGAAAGTGAAATAAAGAAAAAAATGAAACAAAACAAGTTTTTACAAAGGCAAATCTAAAAATCATTTACAAATACAATGTTCTACCTCTTAAAATTTTTCCTGATTTTAGTAGTCACACATACTAAACTATATCATGCATTTATGAGTTTTCATTACTTTGTCTTTCAATTACATTTGTATCTTCTCATGTACTGCAGTTATGCTAGTATTCTAAACATCCTTGGATTCTCACTCAGCTCCTCAGATAGCAGAAGCGTCCTCTGTTGATGTTACTTTGAAAGTGAAATAAACCCCCTCCCCATCTTTCTTCCTGCAGCATTCTGATGTGCCCCGCACTCCTGGTAAGGATGGGTTTGTTAAGTGATGTCTCCCTGGCATGACTCACTGGTGACACATGACAAACGAAGCCTCCTCTCAACAAAGGAAAATGAAGACTGCTTACCGAGTTACCTATGTACTAGGCCCTGCATGCTGGGTTTCACTGATGTGTGTTTGTCGCCTTCTCTGTAGGGGACAAAACCCTCAACACATACAGTGTATGGGAGGAGAGGATTATTTTGGTTCATAGTTCAGGAGTTTCAGTCTGAGTAG